CAGAAAATTATTAACACTACAAAAACATTTGCTAGTCTCTTATTCCCCATCCTTCCGCCTTCGCTGCTATGGTAGCTCCCTTTCCTCCTGTCTTATCATCCGTTACCCCTTTGGTGGTTAGTTTAGCTTTTAGCTTTTCTTTTTCACCTTCAGCTCGTTTTCGTAGGTAAGAAATTATGCGCCTCCTTTTTCTGGCATTCGATAGTCAAGCGTAAAGCCTATACACCGTACGTACTGGTCCTCGCACGTACGACTTGGTTTAATGAATGCTACTCTCCCGTATGTTTCCCATGAGTGTCAAACATGTTTGACGTCCAGAGGATGGCTTCATTCAGATGCAATTATACAGTACTTGATTGTCTACGTAGTACATGAGACTTCTTCGCTTGCTTTCAAATCTTTATCAGGATAAAAGGCACCTGTAAATGTTATCAGCGATAGAACATTCAGATATATGGCTCTCATTGCATACCTCAACATCCTCCATCTCCTCATCCATGAGCATGACTTCAACCAACAGGTGCTTGGCGTGCGGGGGGACAGGCTTCTTGCTGACGTGCTCTACCAGCCTAGTGAATTTCATAGGCATCCTCTCAGCGCTCTAAATGATTCACATGAGCAGTTGCCATGGATTGATCACACCCGTTACGAACCTTCTTCTTGTCGGTGAACGAACTCCAGAGCATGCTCACGCCCTGACTAACCATGCTGACATCTAAGTTGTGGTTAGTCTTAAACCAAGTGATGAACTCCTTGAGCGTTGGGTCATTCTTGAATTCCAACCGGTCCCAAAGGGTCCACTCAGTATTTTGGAATTTGTTCTTTGCGACAGCGATGGGCTCTGAAAACCCGAAGAAAGGCAAAGCAAGGTTGATAAAACCGTTCTTGAAGTCGTCTATCTGATTCTTTCCATCTATGATCTATAAAGCGCACGTGTCAGCGCACTCTTCCGGTAAGGATAGGAAACATCTTGCCTTGTAAAGTTCAAGACACACCAAACCGACGACGAGCGCGGTAGTAGTAGCGATGGCGGGAATGATTTTGCCTGCTATCTGCTTTGTGGTATGACGATCGGCGACGGTAATGTTGTAGTTCATCGCACGAAGGTTTGACGCAGCGGTGATGAGATCGATATGATGGTTAGTATCGTCGTCCTTCTCAAACTCGACAGGAGTGAGACGGTAGCCAGCAAGTGACGATGGAGGAGGCAGCATCTTGACCAAGTCGGAGACGTTGTCAGGATCTGAAAGGAATTACGCCCTGCAGGTGACAGTCTTAAAATGAGCGAACGTACCAGAAGACGACTGATTGGCGGGATCGCTTTCGGTAATCTGGATCTTCACTCCGCTCCTTGGAGAGAACTCGGGAACGATCACAGAGTCTGCAACCCTCTTGAAGACTGCAGGATCGGTCTCTCCTCGGAGGCCGTAATTATAGGCATGAAGATTTGCTGCAGCAATGATAAAAGAAAGATGTGTGGGCTAAGGAAAAAAATCAGTACTAAAGGTCTAGCAACACGCTGGGTGACATACATCTGAAGAGTCGAACACAAGTGGGTCTGGTGCCCTCTTCGGCCCACTCCAGAACGGCTGGCCCGTGCTGGTAACATGATCCTTTGGAAGACTGTGGAGAAGCTGACGGATAGCGTTGTTAAACTTCTCCTCGAACTGCAGACGAGCCCAGATAATACACTCCTCGAAAGTTAAAGGCTTGTTGGTAACCAGATATGAAACAATCTGGGAGATGTGGTCATGTGATTGGCCTGAGTATTTGAGGGAGTTCTCGAGGTAGTTAGGCTCCGAAAGATATTGATTGACAGATTCCACAGGCTTAACAAACATTGCGTCGAACTCTTGCCGAGCCCACTGAATTGTTATCAGACCCTGCTAGTCAAGAAAAAAAATAAAGAGCGCACCTCAATCGTGTGTGTAATGGCATTCGGGAAGTTTTTGACTGTGCACGACAATGTCTGCTTCTCTGGGGGATCTTGCGAAGACGAGTACGACTCGGTGAGATGGGGAATCACAACTTGGGTATTGCCTTTTGTGCCCATGGTACCAGATTCTAGGAGTGGTTTTTCATACAAAATGCAACGCTGATCCATGTATACACCTACAACAAGTGTTGTCAGATGAAATTCACAGAGAAAAAGAGGAAGCCTTACGTGCAGCAACGTTATCCAATGCATTTGTAACACCGTCGATCCCCGAAAAAAAGTCGTCATCGAAGACATCTTTGAAAAAATTCAAAATGGGGACAATACAAAGGGTGATAAGTGACTGACTTTCTGTCGCCTGACCAACAGGATCTTGTCTACAGAGAATATGGCCCTTGAGAGCTGGATTCATGTCTGCAACTGCTGCCGCTGCGACTTCAGACTTAAATTTCCCGAGATCTTTGGCACGAAAGAGGAATTGCCGATTCAGGTTACTCTTCTCGATGGTGTCTAGGTCGGTGACATGAATCGTAGCGTCGGGCCCGGTAGCGAGACCCATCATGCTCCAGTTCTTCAACATTTCACACCCGATTGCTCCTGCACCGACGAGGAACTGACGGTGATTGGCAAGCTTATCCTGGAAGGACTTGCCAAACACTGCAATTTGTCCATCATACCGGCTACCAAGGGGTTGGCAATCTTGTTCAGTCGGCAGTGTGGTTGGCAACGACTCCAAAGAATCGAAATACAAGTGCTGGAGCATAGGATGGAACTTCGCAGAGCATGCTTTCAGCACTTCTTGTGCCACGAAACCACCAATTACAGCTGCGACGGGCGGTAAATCTCCGGTTGCTTGGTATGCCAGCTCTGTGATAATCTTCTCATCAGCATCTGCATCTAATTTCTTCGCCAAAGCCACCAGAGAAGCAGCATCTTCTGCGTTTCGGGGCCGAGGTAGACACTGGTGTCGTGCCTTGAATTGTGATAAAGCCTGGAACCCCGCATGGAGAGTAGCAGGCCTATCAAACTTGGCGAAGTCTGTCATGAAGAACTCTGGAGCTGCAAGCGACTCTCGCAAGGATTTCTGAAGAGAAAGTGAATTACAATTTAATGAAACTGGAGTATGACTTACAAACTGGAGGATTTTGGGCATTTTCACCTGGGTAAAGATCCCACCTCGAACATACTCTCCTAGGTCGGAAGTGTCACCGATGGTGAAAGTATATGGACCCTTCACTGTGACTTTGCGAGGATTACAACCATTCAGTTCAGTCATGCCCTGCACTTCAGTGAACGTGACAAAATCGCCATCTTCAAGACCGTGTCTTGATTCATCGAGGCATGTTACCAGCCCTTCCTTGTCCTGTTTAATGATAGTATAGATAGGATGTTGGAGTTATAGTTTATAAGACTTACTTTTTCCACTGACACAATCATTCCGGTAAGAGCTTGCTCGCCTGTAGGATCCACACAAGTAAATTTTGGACCAAAGTCATTAAAGACGGAGCTGATCACGATCAATAGCATATAAAAGGGAGTCGTAGCTATCACGTACCCAAAAAGACCACGGGTCTCCGCTGAGATAAAGTGAACACCATTCTGATGTGTCCAGTCGTTGATCTCAACTTGTTTCTCGTAAGAGACGCCACATAAGACAACGGCCTAGAGAAAATCGACATCACAATATGGCTGATAGTGCATGAACTTACTTGGAAAGGTCGTATTAAATCAACTGAGATTTCCTGTCCTGCATTTCCTCCAAGGTTCCGGACGGGGACGTAAGCATTCAGTTCGGCTAAACGAGGTAGGGTGGATGCTGCGCGCGGCTTTCCGATATCGTTTTCACGAAGGAAGTACTGTAGAAAATAATTCAATAATAGGTCTTGAGGCAGTGTGATGCCTAAGCACGCACTTGTGAGCTGAGATCCTGCATGGTGACCGGTTCTGGGTCATACAGCGTCACGGACTTGACGCCCGCCAGACAAACGTTCTTTGCTATGGAAGATATGAGAATTAAAGGAACTATGCTTGTTGGTAAAAGGGTTACCAATCTCAGCTCCGAGGCCTTGCAACCCGACGATCAGTACATTGGAGGCAGCCATCTTCTTCATCGCTGCGCACATCACTCAGCAAACATGGGATTGTTATTGTTATTTACAACACAACTTACCCTCATGCCCTAAAACATAGCTGCAAAATAACGTAGGATTGAAGGTGAGTGATACGAGCCGCACAGGATGACAGCAACACCTACAGTTGACGAGAGTACAAGCCTTCATCAATCGCGGCTTCGTCGACATCCATCTTTGCTGCTAGATTGCTTGCATCCGCCATGATTAATATGTGCGTATGAAAGTAGGTGGTTGTAGTGGTGAAAGATAAGATCGCGGTGTAGCTGAATAGTAATGATATAGTCGCGGTTATGCTTTCTAATGACTAAGCACAGCTAGACCAATTTTGGGACACTGTTGGTGAGAGCGCCGCAGTGACTCGTGAGCAGACCAACTACATTGAGTGGGGACATGTACTGGAGTACAGGCCTGGAGAACTACGTCTAAATATTATGCTGTAAGTACACCTTGGCACCTGTCCACAGCTCTTCTTCAAGTTGTATCATAGCCCCTGTCTCGCTCAAGGCTGCCAGTGGTGGCACCCTTAAAATTCTAGCACCCCCCAGTGAGCACGCCGATCTATACATATATACTAGGCTCTTCCTTAACACACTCGAAGTGCGGCACCGACTGGTGGCAGCAAGTATTGTTGCTGCTGCTATCGACTCCCACTGGTCATTACCCCATGCCCTCTGCCCTTCAATCGCCTGCAAGATGCACCCTCTTCTCCTCCGCACCCTCTTCACCTATATATCTGCACCGAATTCCACCTCCATTATGTGGTGACACTAGTGTCATCTCTTCTTGCTTCGATATTCAAACCCAAAGACTACGCTCATGTCGTGCGCAACATTCTCAAGGGGCACTCGGTATGTTATGAACCTATTTATGGCGGAATGTCTTGGTCTGCTCCGGCGTCATACACAATTTTTGAAGGCTATATGATTCAGTACTGCTCGAGGCACCTCAAAAACATCGGCATTGATGGCATAAATCAAACATAAACGATGCATCGACTGTTCACAATCAAACAATTGCAAAATATGATGCTTTCAAATCAGCGAGGAGCCCTTCAGCTCTCCAGAGCCATTCTGCGCAAGATGGGAAAAAATAATCACGCCTTGAAACCACTGAACTCGTCGACGTCAGTATTGTCTGACATTCCGCACTGCCAGTATTTTGGTCAGATGATAAAGGTATATTTGTTTGGAAAAACCCTTACGACCACCCAGCGGGAAAAGTACCGATGAAAGGGCCAGGGTGAACGATCCAAAGGGGGTTGGTCGACGCCAAAAAACCTGCCTGTGCACGATTTCCACCGGTCTGTACTTGATGCAAATCACTTGAGCACGTTCTAATTTGCAGCACCAGCATAAAAAAATATGCCTGAGTACCTGCAAGAAGACTCAAAATTAAGCATCTCGACTGTGTAACATTTAAACGAATCTGGTGGTTGAAGAGTGGTACTGGTTAGAGAAGGTCTTGATCCAAGACACTATAGCACTGGGGGCCACTTGGATTATCTGTGCCACATCACTTTCATCAGCCAGGACCACTAAAATATTGCCTGGACTCACATTCAATGACAAGCGTCCCAGAGAGTGTGATGCCGTCGGCAGACTGCACGCCACCATGCTTCACAAATACGAGGCTTACGTGGCACCAGTGGATGAGTCTGTGTGTGTGTGGGGGGGGGGGGCAAAGTGATGACCACTGCGGATAAGACCAACATTGGTTGTACCAGCGTATTTCGAACTGACATCGGGATTTATGTATACTGTCTACATGTCAGAGAATTTCATCTAAGTTTGGCTAGCGACTCACTGATTCCTTCAGTGACTCTGATGTAGGCAAACGCGACGCCCTCAGGAAACGTCGATGTCCAGAGGATCTGAGCGTTTAGTGATAATAAGCTCAGCAAGAGCTGCCATAATACAGAAGAAGAGTGTTGCCGACTTCATGGTGTGATGATTGGGTAGGAATTAGGTTAACATTGACCTGGTATTATATCGGTCGAAGAGTGTCAGTAAGTGCGCATGTACATCACCAGGAATCACCTTCCTGAAAATTTCAACTTTGAATCGTTTGTCGATGATACCAAGAGAGTGAATCAATATGAGATCCACCAAGTTCTGCTTTGAAGGAAGGCCTTGATGGCGAAAATGACTGAACAGATTATAGCATACGCGTCACCAGGAGTCACCTCTCCCAGACATTGTCCCAATTTTGAATCTTTTGATACTAAGAATCCATACGAGGCCCACAAACTGCTCCGCTATGTAGCGTTGGGCCCGCTACAATTACAGTACGACAAGGCTCGTCGACGCTTTCCAAAGGCAAGTATAGACCCTTTGGAAGTGCTGTCACAAAACGAATGACACTTTTGGTTAGAGATCAAGAAAATGCTAAGGAAATGGCGACTCGATCAATTGTGACGGTGGTATCCCATCTCACTCCATAATCCACGTGAATCGCAACGACAAGTGTCCAAGCCGGTCGTCGATGGGAAATATATGCATGCACCGCACCTAGCCTGATTCAATCAAACTGAAGCCACTGCAAGTAGTGCCGTTGCGTTTTCGCGAGCTTTCCGAGGATTCGTTGGGCCGGTGACCCAACAACTTGAATTTCCCGACGGTGGTATCAGAAGCATCTGTTCCTTCGTCGCGTAGTGGCGGCGTGATGGTCTGCCGAGGAAAGACCAGGATTTTACGAACAATTATCAGTCTGTCAAAGTGCAGCTCTGAAGTGAAGCGCCAGACCGGGAGTTGTGGCCTTTTCGTTGTACAGCCGCACGACAGTGGCTCAAGCAAAGACCGTCGAGAAAACTGCTACCGTTGCAAATTGATATCAATCAAAGGGTGCATACCCAGTAGAACATATGCGCAGCAACACAAAGTTGGTACTTACTACTAACCAGAGGGAGTGAATCGCTGGCCAACTTCAAGCTCCAAGCTCCGCACGTTGCTTACTAAGATGGTCTTGCCCGTCGGACGCTTGTCCGACGGTCTTAGGTTATAGGGAAGACTGACTCAGCGGGTATAACAAGAAACGACAACGGTATCACAACGAGCTACAGTAACTGTAAATATCCAAGACAGAATGGTCGATCGGCAAAGGTGGAAAGTCAAGGTGTGCGAGAGACGTATAGTACACGCTGAAAACTTGAAGGTAAGAAAACCCTATATCCACTATGGGCTTGCGTTGGCCGAAGCCAGCGCACTGACGCTGTGCTTGACGGAGGCTGCAAATGCTGCTAATGATCTCGTTAAGATCAACCAGAACAGACCATACACGATACAGAAGGCAAAGCATACTGGTGGGATGGGAAAGTAAGGGGAGCATAGAGAGGATATGGATAGGATGGAGCAATGATGACTTTTCACCCAAGAGTGGTCTGGCAAGGGCCATAACGACCTACAGAATGGACCAAATGCGCGCCAATGGCGCTCAAAGGACCTCCAACTGCGGCACCCCACGTCCCTTGGGTAATGAATTCCAGTAAGTCCAACGCTGTTGTAGGCTGCCTCGATTCAGGTGCAAAATTATGACTACCCGGGGCAATACCCATCGTACGAGGGTTCTTATTGACGATGGGGTCTGCCTCGGGACACCAGTCACTGGGGTCCGGGAGACAGGTCGAGGGCTTGACCGGAGTGGGTGCGTGGATCATCAGAGGGTCCTGGCGGGGCGCTGCAGCAATTTTCTTCTTCCGGCCGCGGTACCGAATGAAAGTCGTATTGACATCTGTGGCTTTATTGACAGCGAGCACGTCATCAAGAACGCGAACTATGACGACACTTTTGTCGCTAGAGAGTTGGCTAGAGGAGACGCGGAGCCCAAGCACCCAGCTATGCCATGAAGAACTGGGGATGTACCCCAGATAACCGAGGGATGCCAGCGCGGTCTTTTCAACATTAGTGAGGGTAGAGGAAGGAATTGCGGTTGTCTTGATCCTAGGTAGAGGTTCAGCAGTCGAGTCATTAAATAAGATGATCCCACGCACCATGTCTTACTCGGGAGGCAAGAGTCGTTGACCAGTTTATCGGCCAGTCTTGCAACGACGACAAACGCGGAGAAGAGAAGCTCGTCAAAAGTGGCCGCGCCACAGCAGTGGAGATGGTTGAAGATCGAGACTCCTAGGAAATCATTCCCTTGGCCTATTTCTGCCATGGTAATTTCAGAGATGTACCACAACGCATGAATGGCAACCATCTGAGGGTTGCTGACGGATTCAAGAATGAATCGAATACGAGTGCCAACAATGGAAGTCACGTAATTTCGCCCATCCAATTCCCTGCTCGTTGAATGAATAATCATGTTGAATGCCTCAAAAAATGACTCACGGGTCGGGGAATGTTTGATCTGCGCCGGCTTTGATAGCCAACGAGTACATGAAATGCGCGGAAAGGCTAGAGAACGCAGTTGCAATATCATCAAGGTCCGGGTTTTTGGGCGCGATGACCCGAGGGACAGCGTTGCTACCCGAGCGCTCGAGGGTATCTGAAAAAGCTGTGACTACCCTGCCAACACCATCCGAATTCGACTGGGAGGGAAGACTCTCTGTACCATGTCTCCCTTTGGTGACGCCAGAAAGAGCCTCGGAGACGTAGCTAGGACGAGCAACCGAAGGAAGAGGAACAACATAACCGAGACCGGGAGGGACCATGGGCGCTGAGTTGCTCAGCGCGACATCCTTGGAAAGGGCGCGTAAGCGAGGCGGCAAGCGCGACGGCTGAGACATGTCAGACAGACGATGCTTGAGCGAGTAGGAGGGCCCGCTCCCACAGGAGGCGCGAGCAAAGTTGCCTCGGGCAACTTTCGAGGAACTGGCAGCAGCAAGAAGGAACAATCCAAGCTTTTGTAACTCCGTCTGAGTTGAGCACGCTTTTAGGTCGTGTGGGGGTTCCGCAGCCCCTTGCACGAGGTAGGGGTGATCAACGAAGTAGGAACGTGTTGCCCGTGAATGGGCGAAGGGGTCTTCCGTGCATGTGGTGCTAAGCGCCTGCGGGGCCTCGATCGTGCCCCTGGTGGTCTTCATATTTCCGCTGTCAAAGATCGGTGGCGGAAGGGTACCTGCGTCAGGGAAACAAGCCCATACTGGCTTTTTAAAGTACGGGTTACAGAGAGGTGGACGTTTCAAAGACTGCCTTGAAGCAGGAGTACCTCTGATAGCAGGCATTATGATCAATACAAGCGTGAACAGGGATGCTGATTCAGGGAATACAAACGAACGGTACAAACCCAAGTAAATGCGGGGCGCCTTTTGTATCGCACCCCTCTCCCCGATAGGGCAAACACGGGAGCAGCGTGAATGGCCACAAGTTGTTCAAGCGGTATCGACCTCCGATCACGGTTGTGGCGCTCTCGATGGCACTATGGACAAAGCCAAAGCGAGCGGTGCTCACCGCCGCCACAACGATGTGGCAGTAAAGCTGGGACAATAAAATCACAGGTCCAGGATTTCCATCCGCTCAAAGCGCAGTGACGACGACGACGTTGTCGGGGACAAAGCAGTTGAAGTGGCGAACACCACTTGAAGTTGTGGAACCTTCATTATTTCGTGTTACACAACTTGATCATTTCCAAAAATGGACTGTTGTCAAGAAACACGTTTACAACTTACGCGAAAACATTTGATTGTTGTTATAGGTGTGACCCGAGTTCACAAAGGGCTATCTGTTTCGAACATCTTTTTGGAAACTTGTCCACCGAGGACTAGTTGAGTGGCGAATTCAGAGTCGGCAGAGGAACATAAAAAAATAACATTACATTGAGAAACTGCGGGAACGATACATATGCCACTACATGCTCGAAATTGCCTACTTCCGATAGAACTGTGGCAGTGAATAAGCACTGTATACAGGTACTGATTATGGAAGGACCTACATTACGACGGAAATTGAACCAAAGTGACAGACATCCTCTATCAAAACTACTTCGGAAGCCCCTGTGCCAGCACGTTCAGGATTGGCGCAACAAAGCCAGGACGCGAGGCTGCTCACCGTTTATGTGAAAACTCCCACTCCCGATTGACGATCCTGAAACCAATGTCTTCATATGGAGGTCCAGCGCTGAAATGTAACAACACGGTGTCCTCATTGCCGGCTTCCCTGACGATTTTGTACGTAGGGGCTTTTGATTTGTCGATCAGATCCGGGTAAAAGATGTTGAACTGAAGTATGACGTGAGTCGGAAGTCGGTTGTAGAGTAATCAACACATACTTTATAACCCTGAACGACCTTCGGAGGCGGGTTGTCAACGCTAATTAATGGCGTCAAGAGAAGATCAAGAACAGGAGATGGAGCACGCACTCGTAGTGAGTCTGATTATACTTATTCCATTCGTAGCCAGTATGCACGCGGTTGAAATATCTAGGTTTCCGAGGTCGGTATTTGTCCTCCCAGTTGTATGACGTAGGATTTGCAATGTTCTCCTCAAGGTTAAAGAGTTCCTCCTCTTCGTCGAGTTCTCTCTCTGCCTCGGCCCTGTACAAAGCTTCGGAAGCGAGGTCAGCACCGCTTGCAATCTCTGGAACTTCGACCTCAACCATAGGTTGAGCAGCCTTGGGCACGAAGCGCGAGGCAGCGACCGTACGGCGTTGTTTCAGCTGTCCAACAATAAGCGGGATTTCAACCAACAGCAAAAGCGATGCCTACCAAAGCACGAAGGTCGTCAAGCTCTGTCACTATGTCGATTTGGCGTTCATCTTCCGTTAACTTTGTGATGTCTATCAGTGGCGGACTCATAGACCTATCATAAGGTTCCATGTCCTCCTGCGTGTCTGCTTCTGCTGTGGTCACAGATACAACATAGTTTGCGTCTTTCAGCCCTTGAGCTGCTGATCGAGCAACACCAGCAAGAAGCTCCTCCTGTGCATGTAGAGCCTCGTCACGCTGGCGCTTGCGTAACTGCT